ACAAACATTTTTAACACAGTCTCTTACACAGCTACTGAAGTCGCACCAAAACTTGGTGTTGCAGCAGGTTTCTCAGATAGCGCCAGTGGGTTTTGGCTAAATTTAACTAAGTAGAGGCAACCATAATCATACACTGTACCCCAGGACCCAGAAGCACCGCAAATGGACCTTCTTCATGCATCAGCTAGTGGAAGCAATCCTTAACCTGCTTTAAACATTTCTGCTAAGTTTTTTGTAGAATGGTTTGTGTTGGAAAGGACCTTAAAGACCATCCTGTTCCAACCCCTCTGCCACAGCAGAGACACCTTCCAGGTTAGACAAGGCTGTCTAATCTGGCCTCAAACACTTCTAGGGAGGGGGCTCCCACAAGTCTTCTAGGCAACCCATTCCAGTGTCTCAGCACCCTCGCAGAAAAGAGTTTCTTCCTAATACCTAACCAAAATCTACCCTCTTACATATTGAAACCATTACCCCAATTTTTCTACATCACTATTTTAATACACCACCTGCATAGCCCAGAAGATCCTATTTGACAGTTCAGTCCTCCTTAAAGCTCAAGTCCAAAGGCATGTATTAAACAGTTGCATCCAAATCCCAATAACAATCACTTCGCTCCTTCCTTAACCACCAGCAATCCCAAGCCACCAGCAATCCCAAGCCACCAGCCTCTGCTTTGCAAAGCTGCAGGACACGTGGTGGCTCTGTGAAACGCCGTCTGACATTGTCACCACACATGTCCTTACTGCAGGATGGCCCGCAACGCCAATGAAAGTACAACAGATGGGGATGACGACAACTTCACTTTCAGCTGGAAAATGTTCACCAGCTGGGACTATCTCATTGGCAACCCAGAGACAGCAGACAATAAGTTTGCATCCATCACTACCAGCTTCAAGGTAACCTTTACTGGCATCTCTCTGCTCCTGGGGATGCTCCCAGTGCCTACCATGGCAGAGGTTTACAGGGAAATTTGGGAACCTGTACAGGGTCTCTCCGTACAAACAGGGTACGGCGCTTGACTGTATGGCAGCTCCAGCTCCCCTACCCTGGGTCACCCTAACAGCCTTTTTAAGAATTGAGAAGTAAAAAAATAAATTTATTTTACTTCAGAGCACAATTCCCCCAGCACATTCCCCTAAGACATGGCAGGCTATTTGCCACTCGATGTCTTACAGCCAAGATTTTATGAAGCTTAGTCTGAACTTAATACAAAATACCAAGTTCGATATATACGGAACAGCATGAGATTGCATTCCATAGAGTGGAAAACCATCTCATAATGCCTTAGGTGCTCAAAGATGGTCACCAATTTTCTGTGAGCACTCCTAATTTTTTTTTCAGGAGTCTATTGTGGACGAGCAAGAAAGCAACAAGGATGAAAACATCCACCTGAGGAGGTTCCTGAGGGTTTTGGCCAACGTCCTCATCATATGCTGCTTGTGTGGGAGTGGCTACCTCATCTATTTTGTAGTGAAGCGCTCCCAGACGTTTTCCAAAATGCAAAATGTTGGGTGGTATGAAAGAAATGAGGTAAGCGAACTTTGCCTTTGTTTTTCTGCTGTGATCATTTGCCTTGGACATCAGCACAGCTGTTGCCACAGCATGAGGACAACATCCAAGAGGGATTCCTTATCAGGGCCCAGAAGTCCTCTTCAGTACCTTTGTACTTGTTCTAACCAGAAAGCGCATCGGTCTCATTAATTTACCCTGGAAACTCTCAGGAACTCCTGCAGAGAGGAGAAAATAATCTTACAATAAATCACAAGAAAAGTTAATAGGTCTCCAGCACTTACCATACTGACCATTTTCTAAAGAATCTACCTGAAGTTGCACATTAATCTTTACAAGTTCTCTAGGTGTTAGAAATGACCATGATCAGACACAAAGATAAACTCAGATCTTTATCATCCACCTTTAATTATGCGAATGGTATCTTTGGAATGTGCAAAAAAATGTGAGTTGCCAAAAATTTTTCTGTGTCTGATTTTGGAACAAGAAGTTTGAACCTTGAAGCTCTTCACACACACAAAAAAAATTTGTTTCAACATGTGAAAAGGTGTAATTTCAATGTACACTGCAGTATCATGTATTTACATATCAAAGCCAAATCAAATTCAAAGTCATGTATTTTCATAATTCCCTCAGAAAACATTAGCACTACAGCATTTCTCACAGTATGCTTTAACTTATTTCAGTGAACTTTTCCCAAAGGAAAAACAAATCCTATTTAAAAAAACAAACAAACCAAAAAATATTTAATGCCTGAGACTTTCCTGGTGATAAATTGAGATCCACACATATACAGTTCTGGGTACTTTTCCCTTTCCTGGGGAAAAAAAAAAAAAAAAAAAGAGAGCAGCGAGACAAACAGTCCTGTGCAGGCTCACAGGTTCTGCAGGACTGTAAAACCAGATAGACCCTGCAATTCACACCTGAGCTAACGCGGATTTGCCAACGACCTCATTGACCACAGCACAACACAGCATCTTGCCCCATATAGAGTTAAAAAAAAACCGCAACGAGATAATTTCTTGAGCCGCAAAACTGAGTCCTTAATGTGCTTCCACTCAAATCTGTAATTGCCTATTGCAGAAGCAAAGGTGCTGAACGTGGAAAACAAACATTAGCATCGACTAATTATCTTTACGCACACAAGCCAAATCTTGCGCTTCCTCCAAAACTAAAATAAGAACCTCGGAGCTGATGCAAGCAGTACTACGAGAGGCACCTAAATATTCATGAGCCTGGACTGACAGGGAGCAAACTCTTCAGAGCTCATCCCTTTGAGATAACAGCGAAAGCGCTCCTTCAAGAGCCAGCCACTGTGCTCTTAGCCAGGAGTTGAGCTCGCCCAGGCTCCCTCGCCTTTATAAATCCTTGAGGAATCTCCGATCAGCCACCGGCAGCCCCTGCTCTGCTCAAACTGAGATAGTGGCATCTGTTACTATTAGTGGTAATCTTGCTTCCCTCAGGTTGAGATCGTGATGTCCTTGCTGGGTATGTTTTGCCCTCCGCTGTTCGAAACCATCGCTGCCCTAGAAAATTACCATCCCCGCATCGGGCTGAAGTGGCAGCTGGGGCGGATCTTCGCCCTCTTCCTTGGCAATCTCTACACGTTCTTGTTGGCCTTGATGGATGACGTCAATGAAAAAGTAAGAGCAGAGTGGTTTTCTAGCATTTTCCAGAGCCGAGGGTGAGGGCAGCCTGTCACCAAGGACACCAGCCAGAGGGGTTTCCAAATTCTCCATCTGGTCTTTAAAGCTCTGAAAGGACATGAGGAAGTGGCTTTAAGCTGCACCCATAGAGGTTCAGATTGGGCATTAGGAAAAATTTCTTCACTAAAAGGTTTGTCAAGCACTGGAACAGGCTGCCCAGGGAAGTGGTGGGTCACCACTCCTGGAGAGATTTTAAAGATCCCTGGTGCTCAGGTATATGGGTTAGTGATGGGCCTGGCAGTGCTGGGTTAATGGTTTGAATCGATCTTAAATGTTTTTTCCAGCCTAAATGATTCCATGATTTTAGGAAAAGTGAGCAGTTATTGTCTCCTATAATCATGGCATGTTAGGGTAATTTGATTTTTTTTTCCCCTCCATCTGACAATGTTTGCAATTCCTATTAATGCAGACCCCGAGGATACAGTTTATATTCCCTGCCCTCCCCTCTTTAGTATTATCCTGGTAGCGTGTTGCAGGCAGATAACTCCAGGAAAGGATAAATGTCTAAGTGATCCACAGGAAAAATGACTCTGTTCTACGCTGAGAAGAATTGGAGGAATCAGGGCGGTTTGCCCAGAAAAATTATGAAAGAGGCAAGGAAGGAGGACTGGGTGGAGGCTCCCTCTCCACACAGTAACCTTGAAGGAGGTCTGGCTCCTCCACGTGTGGGGAGCAGCCTGGTAGCTCCCCAGAACTCATGGTTTCCTGATGTGCTTTCTGTCTGGAAGGGCTGCTGCTCCCCTGCTCCTGGCAAAAGGGAAGGACTTCCTCTGATATTGCTGTTACGACTCTGTTGTAGGAGTATGCTCATACGATGGGTGATAAGTGCAGGGAGAAGAGGGGAACTCAACACCCACCTTGGGTCTCTCCAAACTTGTCCTCTGGGATCCATATTTCCTGAACTTTTTGGCCTGGGGTGGGTGGGGTGTCTCTTCATTGCAGTTGGCTGAAGAGGACGTGGTAAAGAACATCACGCAGTGGACACTGCTTGGCCACCACAACTCATCCGCAGGGAACAGCAGCGCCAGCCCACCCCCCCTTGATCCTGCAGATGTGCCCAGGGGACCCTGCTGGGAGACCACTGTTGGCATTGTAAGAAATTCGTTAAGTAGTAAGTCTCTAGGCTGGTTTGGTGTGGGATGTTTTGCAGCTGTAGTCATCCTCCAGATCCCCAGGTTTTCCCTCCTAAGACTTTTAAAACTTTTCTTGTAAATGTTTTTCCTCTTGGATGCCTGGGACATCAAGCTATCTCCATCCTACATGTCTTACTCCTGTTTGTTGGAGGCACAGAGGTAAAGCTTAGGCACTGACCAGGGTTTGAAAACAGGCAGGGATTTTGCTCGGGGCATGCTTTTCTGAAGGTTACTGTCATATAAAGACAAACAGCTTGATAAAAAAAAACAACAACACAGTACCAAATGTGCTATGGAAATTATAAGAGCTAAATGTTTCTTCCTTGTTTTAAATTGCAGGAGTTCGTAAGGCTCACCGTCTCCGATATCCTGGTGACCTTCATAACCATCCTGGTGGGAGATTTCATCCGAGCTTGCTTTGTCAGATTCGTGAATTACTGTTGGTGCTGGGACCTGGAGGCTGGATTTGTAAGTCGGTGTCTCATAGCTGAGAAGATAGAAGCAATTTAGAGCCATTTGGTCAAATGCTACAAACAGATTGGTTTGGTATCCTTCCAAGGGTCCTCTGGTCTTGTCTGATTATTTAATTGGTGCAGGTAGTCTCTGCATCTCTTCTCTGAGTCAATCAGTTCCATTCCAGAAAGAACCCTACAAAAATGCAGTCCTCTTCCCCCACTTCAGGATTTCAAAACACAAACTTGAGTTTTAAAAAAAAAATAAATTAAACTTATGTTCATTCAGCTGTTATAACCTCAAACCTTCAAGCCCTTCTACACCCCTTCTCAAACCCCCAGATCTTCCTGCTTGTTGCCCACCTCATAGGCAGTAAAACCATCTTCTAATGGATGCTTGAAGCTGGTGTTACTCCCATTGAAGCTCCTGGTTTCCTCCTCCTGGAGGACAGCAAGCACTGAAAGTTGTCTTTATTTGCATGGGAGAAAGAAGCCAACATTAAATTCTAGCTAAAAATTTGAAGTAGAAATGGACTGGAATCAAAAGAACAAAGAAACCGATGCTTGCAACCATCCCTTCCCAAAGCTGTGAGCAGTCAGCTAAGCAAGGCTCTGACTTGTCTCCTTTCAAGTTTTCATCATAAAAAGACAAACACCTTAAACCTCAACTTTAGGAACTGCTCACAGTGTTAAGTACATGCAAATTGCACAAAATACAGTGCAGGATATTTCAAACACATAATGGCATCATTCCTTAGAACTCCATTTTCTGCATTCCACAACAAAAAAAATCTTTCTCAAGAAAACACAGAAAAACTTTACACATAGTTTAATCTTCCAAAAGGCATCCAAATTTTGTGCACACAAAAGCAGATATACATAGGAGAAACGGCACAGGCAAATCTAGCAGAATCGTTATTTTTAAAACAACAAATGCCACCAATAGATTAGACCAGCCTGCTTTGGGCTTGCACCACCAGTACCCACATCAGACAGGTTTCTCTGTATAAAGCAGGATTTTAACAACTGGCTAGTACAGGGTAAAATACCTTACAGAGCCGCCCTGAGCACCTCCAGACATCTTTCCAATTTTCAGCCAAGCCAAGAGAGGAGCTGCAGCTCCAATTTTTGTTTCACTGCAGTGTTGCCAGTCATTCAATCGGTACACACACAGCCAGAGCCCTCCCAGAAACCCCTTTCACACCAGCTTTAAATAAGCATCTTTACACCTAGCAGCAAACAACAGCAACAACGCACCCTTCTTTCTTTCCCCACGCAGCCATCCTATGCCGAATTTGACATTAGTGGCAATGTTTTGGGTTTGGTCTTCAACCAAGGAATGATTTGGTAAGAATTTAATTTTTTTTTTAATTATTATTTAGGAAACCTGCCAGAGTGGAGTTAGCAAAATTTCAAGTCAGCTACAATAACCTTTGGGTTTGGGTTTACTCTGTTTGGCTTTCTATCCCTGACTATAAAAGAGGAAATTTTAAAAATACCAATTTACCCATCCATCCAAGAGAAGCAATAGTGGCATAACTGAAACAGAGATCAATCCCGCAAATCGTGTCCCACTCTCACTTTTATAAGGTCATTTAAAAATGACAGGGAGGGCAAACAAGGGCAGCACTAGAAGCAAGAGTCCAAATCACACCCCTCCTCCTCCCATGGGAGTTGGGTTCTTTCGCCTTGGATGGATAAATTCTACTACAACATCTCTGCAGATTTAAGGGTGTCTCTCCCTGCTGGCTACATCCACCTGATGTTTTCTAGGCAATTTTTATCATTAAAAAAAAGGCTTTATTTGCAACCACTGATGAGTCCTGAGATCTTGCTGGTCCTCAATGCATGGTTGTCATACCCAAACACGAATGTACCCTATGAACACTTGTTTTCTTGCTGAAAAGAAAATTAGAAAAAAACCTTCCAGCCTGTCAAAAATCAGCACCTTCTTTTTCTTTTTCTTTTCTTTTTTTTTTCCAGGATGGGATCCTTTTATGCACCAGGGCTCGTGGGTATAAATGTCCTGCGCTTATTAACCTCCATGTATTTTCAGTGCTGGGCAGTTATGAGTAGCAACGTCCCCCATGAACGCGTCTTCAAAGCATCCAAGTCTAATAATTTTTACATGGGACTATTGCTGTTGATCCTGTTCCTTAGCCTCTTGCCTGTGGCTTACACCATCATGTCCCTGCCTCCCTCCTTTGACTGTGGACCATTCAGGTACTAGCAAAAAGCCAAAAAAAGGCAATTTTTCTCCTTCAATATGTGGGGGATTATTTTTGTGATGTTAGAAGGTCTGGACTCTAGCAGAGATGATGAAACACTTCCATTCTCAATCTGGTTAAATCCTTGGCAATGTAATCCCAGGTAATCCCAAAGCAATCCCAAGGTAATTCTGAAATAATCTCAGATGAGGGGTGTAAACAGTCAACTAGGAGCCCTGGAACCTTCTCCAAGCTCCTCTCTGCTGTTCTTCAGCGGGTTCTGCCTGCTTTGCCTCCTCTGCTATGGGATTCCCAGTGTTACCCCAACACACAGCGATGGCAGCGCCAGAGGACAGCAGGGGTGGGACACCAGGGTGCAGCCCCCAGTGAGAAGAAAAACAAACAAACAATCAATGGGAGCACCCCTAAAGCTTTCCAGAACACCATGGAAGCAAAATGAGTCCAAATCCTCCTCCCAAGACCTCCTGTAGAGCCAAGAACTCCCACACCATAAGATGTATATTATGTGTTGAATTTTATTGGAAAATAGCTGGAAATGGACAGCCTGAAGAATCGTAGAATCATTTAGGTTAGAAAAGACCTTTAGGAGCATTGAGTCCAACTGTTACATCAGCAGTGTCAGGTCAACCACTAAACCATGTCCCTGAGCACCACATCTACACAACTTTTAAATCCCTCCAGGGATGGTGACTCCCAGTACTTAAAAAGCCTTCTGGTGAAGAAATTTTTCCTAATGTCCAATCTGAACCTTCCCTGGTGCAACTCGCAGCCATTTCCTCTCGTTCCAAGAGCTGAATTTTTTATTTTAATTTTTTTAGAAAAAAAAACCTTTTTGGTTTTTTAATTAGGACAGAATCAGCACCACATAGAGCATGCAGTGGACTGGATTAACACGCCAATAAAGTCTAATTTGATAGAGTAACATCATTTCCTGGGCCTGCTGAGTCTGCCTCAGCAAGGAGCCAGCTTGGCACAAAATGTTCCTGTAGATGCACTGGTTTAGATTATCCACTTGCTAATGGGAACGACAACAGAAAGCTAAAAGACTCAGGGGAAAAGGCAAGAGACCAAAATTCCCTCCATTCTGTAACAAGGACACGTGTCAATGAGCAATGTCAGATCTGACAAGAAGCTGGTTGCACACACCGTCATCTGGAGATGACTAATCTGCCATGTGAAAGAGCTATTTCAATTCCCAATCAACCCTTCAAAAGCCACTCAGCCTGATTCAGACCCTTGGCACACGTCTTGGCTCAACTGAAAGCTCAGCTCTCCTGGGCTTATGGCAGTAGATGAAGCTGGGACACCATTCAAACGAGTTTGTTGACTCTCACCATCAGGACAAAGTCCAACACCTTCCTTGAGCAGAATCCTGTAAGATCCCAGGAGGTGACAAGCCCAAAGATGAGGAATAGCACTCATAAGGTTGGAATTCGCAGGCCCAGAGATGTTGGGGGACAGAAGGTCAATTATGTAATCCAGCCTTTTCCAGATTTGTTCTCGTTTCAACAGAATAGTCTCATCCTCTTTATCAATTCCCTTTGAAATGCCTCTTTCACTGAGTTTCCTATTAAGCAATAATCACAGTTTGCTATTTTTGTCCTTACTTAGCAGCTCTTCAAGTTGGCTCCTTATTTCAGAAAGATGAAATTTGCATATGGAAAGTCATCTCTACCGTGAAAAGGCAATATTTAACATGATACTGATCAGAAATGTATGGTTACTGCAATCTGTAAGGTTTTTATACATTTCAGAGGGGTAAATAGTCAGAACTCGTAAAGGAGCCACATGTGGAAATAAATGTATTAACTCCCAGGGCCTAGCAAAGATTATTCTTAAATCAATGGGGGAGGGGGAAGGAATGTATGGACGAAGAGATAATTTTAAATGAAGGCACTTCAAAATCCTTGGATTTACTGTCAGATATTTCTCCAGCAAATACCTATACTCCTTAACCAGCCTTTTGTCTTTCCAGTGGGAAGAAAAGGATGTATGATGTTATCCAAGAGACCATCGAGCTTGATTTCCCACTTTTTGTTGCCAAGATCTTCAGCTATGTGGCAAATCCAGGACTGATCATACCTGCAATTCTGCTCATGGTGTAAGTTTTCTTTGCAATACTACATGCCTGGCTGGGAGGAAGGGAAAAAAAATAATGCTGGGATGTTAGTGAGGTCTAAATACAGCTTCTGCTGACATAACAGTCTGGATTAGGACAGATGCTTCCTACCCCTGTTACCTTCACCCAGGTTCCCAAAATTTAATTATCTGACCCAATTAAACACAACTTCGTAGATCAAGCACATTGCTGACAGAGGCCTCATGGATATCAAAGCTGTCACAGCTTCCATATGGAATATTTTTAGTAGCCAGCAAGGAAATAAATGGACAGTCTCAGCCTGGTGCCTTTTTGGAGAAGCAATTTCTGTCACAGCTGGTGGTATTTACAGCACTGCCAAGCCAGGGCATTCCAAAATTTACACCTTCCAAAAAATATGAGGGAGTTTGTTTTTCATTTAGGTTGCTGGGTTTTTGATTTTGTTTTTTCTTTTTCCAAATATTACACCCGGAATTTGTTTCAGTGGTGTCTCAGAAACCACACTGAAATCCCCAGCACTTTTTTTCTAAAAAAAGCATTTTTGGCATCATTCTCAAGGTTTCCATAGAGGGTAGGCAAAAAAAAAATTAAATGTTCCCTCTTTGTGAAACTTTCTCTCTTCTCTGATCCTATCACTACAGTCACACACTTGTTTTTGTAGCCTCGCCATCTATTACCTAAACGCTGTGGCTGAAGCGTACCAGCGTGCCAATGCAGAGCTGAAGAAGAAAATGCAACTGGTGAGTATAGATCTGGCAAAGCCACCTTTGAAACACCACACACTTCGAGTTTGATGGCAACACACTCTTTCAAATTGCCCTTCGCATGACTGGTTCATACATCCAAACTGCAGTAAGTCATCCCCACAAATGGCACTTTCCACCTACGAAAATAAGTTACCCCAAGGTTCAAGCAATGTTTTGGAGCCTGAGATTTCCCAGGGACAAGGATAAGCCTAGAGAAACCACAGCCAGGTCTTGTACAAGCTGGATGGCAAAGAGTCATAAAGAACAATAAGGCAACAACTTTTTTACCAATAATACTCAAAGAACTTTACAATGGGCTGGTGTCTGCCACGAGAGGCCACAATCCCAGCTGTGCATTCCAGCCCACAACTCCCTCCACTGGCAGATGACCCTTTTGGAAGGAGGGATAGAGCTGGAGTCCATTGAAGCTTTCTCACTGCATCAGAGAGGGCAGCCTCTCCCTTCCCTGTCCAGCACATTTGTGTTGAGCAGAAATATCCCCTGGGTATTTTTTTCTCTCTACCACCTAGAAGGAAATCTTTGGAAGACCTAAACATATGTGAGCAAAACCAAAGACTACCCTACAGCCCATCGCTATGTTGCCATGCCTTCCTCCTCTTCCTCTGCCATTTATCAGAGACACCCCCCTTTCAAGATGTCCACATTTAAAACAAACCAAAAACCCCCACAGAGGGCAGACTGGCAGTTGCAGAAACACACAGACAGCCAGATTATCAGCAAGGGTTTTGAACTAACAGGAGTGGAGCCCATTGCTTCCCAGGCTCTTAGTCCTGCCTTGGTTGTATTTTCCCACACCCACCCCTCCTGGTCACTGGACTGAGATCCAGCACCTTGAACTTGGCAAGAAGATTTTACCCATGCTAACAAACACTTAGCCAGGCCAATCATGACACCACACCACAATTTCGTGGATTACATCTGCGTTTTCAAACTAAATCTGGTAGTTTTTTTATTGATGCAGCAACGCGAAGAGGAGAAAAACAAGAGAAACAACAAAGCCAGCACTAACCCCATTATGCAAGACCTGGAGGATTTACTTACACCAGGTACAAAGAGTGACAGCCACTTCAAACAAGCAGAAGGTAAAAAACTAAATAGTCTCCCTCAATCCCCCTGAAAAGGTTCCTTTTGCCACCTAACAAAAGGGGAAGGATTGAGAAACTGGAGCGGTACATATTCGCAAGGGGTGGGATGAATATAATTAGCACAGAAGCCCACTTGCCAACGGGCACCCAGTAAGGGCAGGTTTTCAGACTGGATGACGGTGGCAATCGTAATCAAAAATTATGATTCATAACCCAGCTATTAACCACACCAACCATGAAACCAGCACTTCATTCTGGGAGCAATGCTGGAACTCCATCGTTGCTTCTGGGCTGATGAGTTGAGCCAAGCACCGACTTTTCTCCAAATTAAGGTTTTCATTAGAAAATTCATTGTGAATTATGGCTAGAGAAGTACCAGCATTGCTCGTAGGACCACAATGAATTATCAATGTATGAGTAAGAACCTGCAAAGAGGGCTCAGGCAGCAGACACAAACACTGAGGAAGAGGAAGAAAGGCAGCTTTTGCTTTCAAGAAAATAACATTTGGAATCTTTGCTCTAGACAAGAAAATAGAGACTTCTAATAGAAACAGCCCTGTTGGAAAACAACGCAAAGCCCTGGATGGCAGCCCTTTCACCGGTGGGAGAGGAGCAACAGTGTTTACACCGCCACTGCCGCACATGTTCGTGACACAGCCACCGAGACTGGGGGTGTGGGCACCTAACCCTGGCCAGCCCAGGCTGAGGGGGTACCCACCAGGACCAGTCCCTGGAAGGGGAAGAGGGCAGCCACGCTACTCATATCCCACTTGATAAGGTTCACGTTTCCTCCCATTTGACTTCAAAATAGAGGTGCTGCATGAGCTATCGTAGTTTTAGTAGGAAATGATTACTCTGCATTGGTCCCCTACTTGTGATGTTCTGTATCTGTCCAACACTGCCTATCTAAACCAGCTTTGTAGTACTTTGGCGTGGTAGCCCCCAATGGCTGCACCGATTCTGATCATGAAGAGGAACAGGAGGTGGTCAGGATTGAAACCAACCATGGTATTCAGTCTCTTCTTCCATATAACAAGTGAAAGGGCAGGAGGAAATGGCCTCAAGCTGCACCAGGGAGGTTTACATATGACATTAGGAAGTATTTCTTCACCAAAAGGGTTGCCAAGCACTGGGCCAGGCTGCCCAGGGAAGCGGTGGTTACCATCCCTGGAGGGATTTGTTCTCAGGGACATGGCTTAGTGGTGGACCTGGCAGTGTTGGTTTAACAGCTGGACTCAATGATCTTAAAGGTCTTTTTCAACCTGTATGATTCTATAATTCTGCAATTCTATGCTACACACAGGACACAGCCCTGCAGCCACAAACAGTGCTGTGGTGAGCACAAGTGGTTGTCAGTTCCTTCAAAGGCTTCTTCAGTCAATAAAAGCAGTGTGAGTTTCCTGTCATTTCAACTAAGAGGTCTTGGATTTTTTGCTGTCCCTCTACCTGAGGAATTATCATCCCCTAGGTACCGAGTTTAGTCCCACCGCCCAGCACAACTGAGGGACTCAAAGTGTTTTGGCACTAATTTCTGAATGTAACCAGTTTGAAATTAATGATACAATTTAGAGAACCTATCTTCCAGATCTAGAGGACTTCCCAGAATTCCATGGCAGGACTTCTGGGTTGACTTACTCCTTTACACCTTCACTTCCTTCATGTTGACACGAACCCATTCTGGCCGGCTTAGATTTGTTGTTCACATATGTGTCATTCTTCACAAAAATTTCTCTATAAAATAAACTCATGTTCTTCAGCAAAAACCAAATTGATTAATATAGCTAGTAATTATTCCACTGGGAATAACCTCTTGTCATATAATATGTTCAGGACAGGAGCTCAGAGGCTCCACAGAGCATTTGACCTTTAGTCTGGGAATGTCCACCTTTGGGGAGCTGGGCAAAGGGGTCCCATTAAATCAGAGATGAGGCAGACTGGAAGAAGGGTTCTGTTTTTCAGGTCCAAACCAACAAAAGCATTTAGGCATCCGATTCTTCATAGGAACTAAGAGCTTAAGTATTGTGCTGTGTTTGTTTGTAGACAGAAACCTGGTTCATTTTTTGACATCTCTGCTTTATAAAGACAGATCTGATCCCTAGAGATCACTTCCAGGAGATACACATGAGAGTCAAACAAAAGACTTCAGAATTTCTTCAAAAATTATATCATTGCATTTTGCTTTCAAATACAGGAAAGCCAATGGGTTGTTGTACAAATGGGTGTCCCTGGCATGTGTCTCAAAGTCGGTTTGTTCCCAGGCATGCTGTGACGTCCAGGGTCACTCATTCTCCCAAGGGAACCTCCTGGTCTTGGAAGCACGCTTAGACCCCTCTCCATGACCACATACCAGGTGCTTTTGCTGCCATGGAAGTACGGCAGACCTTTGAAGCCTGACCTTACCACACCTCTAAACTACGTCTCTTCAAAGCACTGGCATCCACACTAAAAAAATAAAAATAAAATTAAGTGCTCACTAAAAAGATTTGAAGAGCAATCCTCCCATTTTGATTCACGCTGCAACACAATGTTACCAGGTCTCCAGCCTGACAGCCATAGGAATTTCTTTCCTCTCCGTCACACTTTTCTTGTCACTTGCCAAAGCCCTGAGGCAGCAGCTTGTCCTCTGGCAGGTGGCAGCCTCATTTCATTTGCAGCCAAGGCTTTATTGCTCACAAATGTTCAGACACAGGGGGTTTTTTCCCCTCTGGGAGAATAAAAGGCAACTCTGGAACATGAAGATTTCTAGGTTCTGGCCCATTTCTCACACAACAGTCACCACTGCTGAATCAGAATCCAGCATCACGTTTTAAACGAACTATACCAATGCGATGCTACGCTGCGGAGAGGCTTGGCTTAGAAATCATTCACTTCTAGTCCCAGGATCCAAACTCCCTGGATCCCCTTCAATTCAATCATCTATAAACAAGCAAAATCAGTGGTGAGCACAATACCTAAAATCTTAAATTGGTACCATGTAGTGTCACCCACACATTCGAGACAGTCTGCATATACCCACACGAGCACTGAAGTAAATACCTTGCCAAAGTGAGGAGAGGGGCAAACCCAGGGGGTTTTGCAAAGAAACAGCCGCAGGATATTAAAGCAGGAACAGGTAAGCAAAGCTTCTCTAGCCTGCAAAAGCTGCCAGTGCCATCTCTCTCTCCAGGCAATGTGGGAGGGAGAACAAAAAATAACTTCAGCTCAGTAGAAGATAAAACAAAAGCAATGATAGCGGCACAGCACCATTACCTGGGCTGCTTGAGGATGGGCAAGCCATCACAGGGATCGAACGTGCAGATCAGGCTAGTAGTAGGTGGAACATTATTAAAAATGAGTTGATATCCCCATTTTCCTGGGGAACAGCAGCTGTAGAAACATCCCAGGAAGCTGCGTCCTCCCCCTTTCTTCATTTTCCCTCCCTCAAAGTAAAGCTGTTAAGGGGAACCAAGGCTGCTTCTGTGAAAGGCTGCAAACCTTCCTTTAATTAAGCAACACTTCACACATATGGGACTTCTGGGGTGGGTTAGTTGTGGGTTTTTTGATAGCAGCAGCAGTAAATAATTCAGTGCCTGAGCAGATGTTTAGGATCTTTAAAACATGAAGGTTATTACCAGATTTATTTAAATCAGGTACAAGGAGGCCTCAGGGCCAGGTAGACAGCAACGGGGAAACCTTTGCCATTGCGCTGCCCTGGGCATTGACCTGGGGATGGAGCCAGATCCCTCATGCAGACTTAGGGAAAGCCCAATGCCAGGCATATCTTTCAGCTGCTTACGTCACCCCCCAACACCAGTAACATGGAGGGTAAGAACATCTCATCTAACCATCCTGGAAAAGGCACAAGTGACTACTTGGGTAGGCAACACACCAACTGAAGCTGAGTAGTGTGTTTGAACCGGTTATCCACCAAAGAGCCAAAACCATCATGCCATCAGGGATGATGCAGACACACACCGCTCACAGCACTCCTCCAACCCCAAATCCAGGAGAAACAAACACAGATATCCCTGTAAAAACATAGAAAGGATGCACATAGCTGGAGTAGGATTTATGGGCCAGACTTCATCGCAGAGAACGCAAAGCTCACATCTCTTTGTTGCCAACTGAGTGGGAAACTCAGCAAGACCCCACAGGCACAGGCATGCTCACAAAGCAGCTCTGACCATCCTTCCCTCGCCCAGTGCGCACCATGTCCAGCTCTCCAGCACTGCCGGAGACAAACTAGGAATAACAGCTCCATCTACCGGGATCTCGGAAACAAGCCACACTCTCACATTTTCCAAGCGCCAGCGTGCCCGGTTGGGGCAAAAAACTTGTCCCAGCCCTTGAGGCAACTCTCCTCGCAGCGGACCAGCTCCAAGCAACGTGCCAACGCTTCTTCCCGTGCCAATGCTTCCTGCTTTCCATAACCCTCAATCTCAACCCAACCCCACACAGTCCTCAGTCCTAATAAATGCACTTATCATACAAGTCAATGTGATAATTTAGATGAAAACAATCACATTTCAGTGAATGTGCCTGAAATATTTCAGTAACAAGTACCGACACACAGCTATCTGTGACAGAAGCGGCACAGGAGCTGCCTGACAACCGCTACGTTCTTAACTGAAGGTTACAAAACAGATAAAGGGACAACAGCAAAATGGCAGCAAAAACAATTCAAAACACAGAGGAATGAGCCTGTGCTCTGAATTTGGAAACTTTTAACAGTTGAAAACAATATTTTGCACTGTCTCCGAAGCAGGAAGGGAACATACAGCTGCTGGAGGCCCCAGAGCCGAGGACATACCAGAAATGCGCAGCCCAAAACATGGAGCATGCAAACAGAACAGGAAGGGCCTTGTCACAGCCAGTGAAACGCTTGCAGGCCTTGTGGCTAAAAGGTGTTAATTTTTAACAAAACCTTTAGTTACCTCGCATCTAGTAGGTAAAGACAACAGGAAAAAACGATCAGCTTCCTTTGGCGATGTAATACACAGTATCATACATAGCTTGCTTTACGTTTTTTACTGCCAAATTGTACTATTGAAGTAAAAGCCAACTAGCATGTGTGCTAAGGGAAAACATTCTTCACGTGTCAATTGGCACAATTGAATGTAGAAAAAGGAGACCAAAACACAGATAAAAAGGGTCCAATCTCAACACTTTTCCATGTCCTAAAAACAAACCCCATGCTTCTCTTGGTGAAGGGTCTACCTCCCATTATTGCTGTTAACCACAGAAATACAATCCTCAAGAGTTAAAGCAGATGAATTAATGTTTTGGGTTTGGCGGGCTGAGGAGTACTTAGTGGGTTGAGGACTACTTAAAGTGTTTTTGGTGAAGGAATCAGTAACACAGACCCTAGAACTGCTGTTTCACCAGGAGAGCTGCTCCTGCACAATGGTTCTTCTCTCTGCACCTGGCCCCACAAACCCTGGGCGGAGCATCCAACCCCACCCAACCGGGCCAAACAGGAGGTTACAGATCCACCCTCAGCCACCAATTGTGTTTCACTTGTCATTAAGTTTAAGAAAAACAGTACCAAGCCAAGCGTGTATTAAACCAGTCTTTATTTCTCTCGCAGTATGGCAGGACCCAAGTTAAGACCACTCTGTGGCAGTGCCGACCCACTCGGTAGCCTGGGCGGTGGGAGCTGCTGACCAGTCCTCGGTGGCAGGCTGGGCGCTCCAGTCCTCTGCAATTGCAAAGAGAGAAACCCTTAGCACACCCCAGCTCTTGCCTCCTGTAGCAGTGTACCCCACTTCCCACAGACGTCCCCCAAAACTGACCTG